TCCTTGGCCACCGTTTCACCACGGATTCCCTCCAGGAGAAGTCTGTTACACACGCCGCTCCCATATAGATGAAATTTATGTACGAGGCCGACCGATCCTACGCATGCGGCCACATTGAGCGCTGACAATTAATTAAAGAATAATTTCTTGTCTTCGCGATACCCGGAGGAGCGTCGCCAGTTGGCGGCCAATTATGCCTCGGGACGAGAACGGAATACCAAGCAGGCCTGTCCACGGCATCGACGGAGAGAGAGAGAGGGAGGGAGGGAGGGAGGGAGAGGGAGCGATTCCTTCGATGCAACGCTACCGCTCTTCGCCAGACTTCTCTCTTCTCCAATCCTTTTCTCCTCGCCCGTCTTCTTCTCTTTCGCGACTCCTTGCCTACTGCGCCCCCCACACGCGCACAATCGACGTGGATTTCGAACGGAACGATTTCGCGCGCTCGGGGGAATTTTCTTCAACCGCGACGGAATAATCGAGCGTTTCGAGATTCTATTCAATTGATGTTTGGATCTCTTCTTATTACTCCTCTCTTTCCATCGAAAATCGTGGAATGAAAATAAAATTGTAAAGAGATAGAGTTTTGCATCTCGAATTTTCGATTGTGTTGTTTAATTTCGTGTATATATATATATATATATTCGGAATAGAATTATAAAGATTATGAAATAGAAAATAGGAGATTTCGTTATAATGCAAGGGGTTAAATTATCGTAAGTGATAAGAATCTGATAGATTTTGGTTATTTTTATTTTTATGATGATCTTCATCTTTTTGAAAAGTGAGTATTATATTGTATTCATTGTACCACGCAAAATAAATTTAATATCAAATGAAAAAATGTAAGAAATCTGTACAAATATCTGTTCATTATAATACATTGTTAGTTGGATCAGGAATAAAATTTAAAAAATGACTTCCAATTTGATTTTTCGGATAACCGATTGAGGAAGAAGCAAATTTATCACGAAATAATTAATTATTTTTAAATACTATTCCAAGATATGGATTATTAAACACGCTATTTTAATTACGTATGCATCTTTTATTCGGATCATTCGAATTTCGATAAACAAATAGAACTCAATCAGAGTCAGACGTGAAAAATCTG